CTGTGCAATCCTGCGATAACAAATTATAAAATACTTATAGATTGATATTTTTTTCTTATTATTTACAAATTAGCTTCTATTGATAATCACTTTTTATTTTTAGGGCTGATTATTGAATTTTGAATGTCAAATTCAAGAATTAATTAGTTTTTTTTCTTCTTCTCTTTTTTTTACCTTTTTTTTTTAAATAAGATAATATGTTTTTGGTTTTACGGGTACCGAATAGAAAAAAACTGAATTAATTCGATAATAAACCCGCACCTAACGAAATAGTTCGATTCAATAAACGTTATAAAAATTTTCAGTACTGAAATTTTGGTTTATCGAAATTTCGGTACGGTTTTACCGAACAAACACCCCTATAATATATGTATATATATATTAATATATTTGTCCCAACAAATTAATTGACAAATAATTGAACATTTCAACTAACAATATTATTGAAGTGTCACCTATGACATATTCAATTTAGACAACACTGTTTTATGATTCCCATTTCCCAATAATGTATTAAAAAACAAAAATATACAATATTATATTTTCTTCCATTCTGGTACAACATGGTTATGTAACCATCAATAATATAATTGAACAGTACTGTGTGTAGCTCTTTATATATATCCGGCGCCATTGTATATATTTTAATTCTCATTTTTAATATATATATTTATATCCGATCGAGATTTTCCTTGGACGCATCTTCTCTCATTCGATCGAACGGTCGGAAATTGAGCTCGATGAAAATATTTCAACACAAACAATATGTAAAACCAGAAAATAGCCAATATTGACGAGACGAAAACTGAACCAAACATTGTCAATATTGATTGAGAGTATTTAATTTTTTTATTCAATAACAAGATTTTTCGTATAAAACATAAAATTAATCAAATAAGTATAATTTTTTATCCTAACTATCAAACAAATAAAACTGAAAAAGATTCTCTAATTTTTAAAATATCACCTAATCTCCGAATACCGTTTTTTTCAAACGAAAACGTCGTCGCATATCCATTTTAATATAGTGAAGATAGACAATAGAGTTATTGTTTTTTTTTTCTTTTCTCCTTTTACACTTGTGGCCCCCGATACGTTCTAATTATATACATTACTCATAAAATGATAAAATAAATATTAATTTTATATTATATAAAGAAATATGATTTTATATTATGTATAATTAAATATATAAAAATGTCACAAGACAAATGTGTTGTATCCTAAATACTAATCCCAGTGAAATACATGTGCTAGTTTCTTCATTTTCAATCGAACTACACACAATCACACATAAATTCAGAAAAATAAATATTTTTGATCAAATTCTATTAGATTGCCCAATTAAATTATGTGAATCCTCTATATTCGTTTACTACATCCAATTTATGTAAACCTCTTTTAGTTTCTAAAATGAGATTAATCAAAATAAAATTGAATAATTTGATAAAAATTCAAAATACCATTGAGCTATGAAAAGACCAATGACTTATCTCGCAATAAATCAAATAGACCATGATAAAATAATATATTTTTAGGCCGATTTGGAAAATTATTGAGTTTATAAAAAATATTAACAATGTCTAATTATTCGATTACTCGAGGTTAATATTCTGGACCAAACGTGACAGTTTATGAAAATATAAAAGACAATTTACTAAACACTCCCGAACACTAATAGTCTTCCAAATTAGGACAATGGGATTTTAGCATTTTATTAAAAGTCTTTTATCCATGTCTTACACACACACACATACACACGCGCGCAGTAGTCGTTTCAAAAATCAATCCTATGTATTTTGTTGGTTCACCTTATTTATGTACAAGATTTGAGAGATAGATGATTGCAAATAGGTAAATATTTTACGATAGATTACCACAGAACATAACGAAGCTCCATAAGTGACAAGTAAGCTAATTTTCCCTAAGTATAATTCACTAAAATATATAGTAACAAGCCATTAGTATTGGAGGTATAGAGACATGCCACCAACACCAAATAAGAGATACAAGAAGCCAATATATATATACACATATATATATATATATATATATATATATATATATATATATATATATATATATATATATATATATATATATATATATATATATATATATATATATATATATATATATATACATATATAATAATATGTCGGCCATAAAAAAGTGATTTGAATAGTCAAAGAGGTACAGCCTCTCACAATCATAGAAACATAAGCAAATTTCGGCATTCTTCAACCTTCTTTTTCTTAGATTCTGTATCACAAACAATAGGCCCACCAAATAAATAATTAAATAAAAAATAATAATAATTTATATTGATGAAATAGTAATAATTTAATAATATTATGTGGTCACAATATCATAGAAATTTAGACAGCTAAAAGACAAACAATTTTAGCAGTATTAGTGATTAGTGTGATGTCTCTTGGCCGACCAATACCAACTCTATCTTCTCCAACCGTCGCCACCTTCAATTTTTCTATTTTTTTCTTCTACAGTTAGTTAGTTACTTGTACCAATATGTATGCAATGGATGTACAATTAAATATAATATTGTATTTATTTTTTAATATTATTAGTACAATAATGATAATACTAAAATTATTTTGGTAGGGTAATATATGTTAATCAATATCAATGTCGTGATCGGTGGTGGTGAGGCCGTAAAATTTTAAGAGGGTGGAATTAAATATATTGGGGGTTCAGAATATAATACTAAAATGAATCTCTACGGCAAAGTTAAATTGTTATGAAAATCCAAAAAAACACGAATACATGTCGGTTATTAAGATATTCAATATTAAATTTAAATGAGATAAAAAACGTCAAGTTAACCTTTAATCCATTTTCAGTTCGCGTCCGATCGCCGGTCGGCAGTGGTGGAGCCATCCATTGGCAAGGATGGGCTCCAGCCTACTGTGAATTCTTATATATTTATAATACATATTATAGTTATGTGTAATTGGTCCACCAAAGTAATTTAATTTAGTTTAACCCACCCATCAAAAACATTGTGTTATTAGTGAAGGGGCTTTATATAAATGTTAAGCCCACTCTATCTCCAATTCTTGGCTCCACCACTGTCGCTCGGTGGCAATTCTCGGTAAAAAAACATTGTAGACTGCTGACTATCCGAGAGAACAAATTTTTCTTTTTTTCAAAAATAAAAACTAAGTTGGAAAATAGAAAATGTGAGCAAGTCAGACATGAAGGGACATTAAATAAATGGACTTAAATAATATAATTAGTGACCTAAAAAAATATATAGGGTAGTATATATACATATATACACATATATATAATATAATACAATATAATATAATTGAGTGGCCTGAAAATATATACGGTATTATGAGATAAAAATTTCGAAATGAAGGGGGCTTGAGTCCACCCTAGCCATACGGTGCATTTGTCCCTGGCCATGATATAGCGATACCTACAAAAATATTATTAATAAATAAACTTATTAATTTTTATTATTATATATATGTATATTTTTTTGTTTCCATGTGTATTTGTTTTAACCATGGAAAACCAAACACTCATTAGGAGATGGGCCCGCAACTGTGAAGGGCCCGTGGATGTGGAGCCCTCAAGGTTAAAAAACAAATGAAAACAAATAGTTATTTTCTAATTATACTTTTTAAATATTAGTTTCGACCCCTCATAGTTTTTGTAAAATTATAGATATTAAATCATATTCAAATAATAATATACTAAAACAAAATAGCTAAGAAATTTACTTTTAAGTAAAAATTATGAATATTTACTTTTTTTTTTTTAATCAATACCTCTAAAAAAATAATGTAGGGCGACACCTCGAATCCCCAAAATAGTTAGTGTCGGTACATTTATTAGAGTCATTTCGATTAATTAGATTTTTATTGAATGCTTGAAATATGATAAAGTTATAATATATATTATTTTAATTAAAAATTAGCAATATAAACCTATTTTGACTGTGTCTTGAGAATCTAAAAAAAAGCAGCTGATTCGAACATCAAAATTTTGACTTCCCCTCTATATTTTGTTTCTGATTCCGCTTCTTGTAGAATTTATTAAGAAAGTTGATACCTAATCTCTGTTATCAGAATAAATGTTTAGAGTTCGAATTATGGCCAACCATGCTTCCCAAAAGTGAAATACTAAAAGAAGATTTAATGTATGGTGAGAAATGTAATACTTTTTGTCATATAGTGGTTTTAATTTTAATTTTGGTTGGGCTAAAAGCGACTCCGAGAAGGATTGGATTTGGTTTGACCAGATAAAAAAAAAATTTGTTCTAAAATTTCGGAAAGGGACACCTTTTTGGTGGTGATATCATTAACCAACCTTTTTGTCTCTTAATTACACTAATTGCTTCTTTCAAACAAACCCCTTTCTTCCATTTTTCTCATGATGATTAAATTTATTTTCCACAACTATTAAAATAGAATTCAAAAAGTGTTCACCAAATCATGATTCAAATATCTATGTTTTGCACCTCACCAAAAAAAAAAAAAATCATAATCATAATGTAAGTAGTCTAAATTAATATGTAGTTTGAAGGACATAATAATCTTTTACTTGTATAAACAACCTTTTTAAATTGGCCTCAGGTAAAAGAGGTGATGTTAATTTAATTAAATAGTAGTACTTAATAGCAAATTTTGAATTTAGTAGCCAGGGAGTTTGAAAAAGTGACAATGTGCCACTGAATGTGTTATTAGACCTTACTATTTAGTATTTAGTCAGTAGAATCTTATAGCAATAACTTAATGAACACTAATGAATTATATGTAATACCGGAATTTATAGTTAATATAATATGAGATTTAATCGAAGGACACTACAGTAAATACACATTTGGGTGACAACACATATTTTAAAATGATTGGACGAAAAATGACGTCACTGTATATGCTTCTCCGTTCTCACTAATTCTATACAATGACAATAAAAGTGATTGTCACTTATATATAATCACAATAAAAAAGATTAAATTGACAACGAGATGAGCTATTAGTAACAACGAACAAAATATAATCACTTTTCATTGACAAACTTTTTTATTGTTAGAATTAGGGTATCACTAATGCCCTTTTTTTTTCTTGAAGTGAGAATCAAACTTCTTACTAACTAAATAATTAGCTAGTGGGGTAGATAATTAATCCAAGCATATTCAAATTAATCCAATATAGGTACACTGAACGAGCTAGGCGTTGGTAAAATATTCGATTCTTCATACGAGATCTAGTTACAAATTATTAAATTTTGATATTAAATGTGATTTCTCAATAACATATATCATCCCTAAGGAACTTAACAAGAATTTTAGATTTTTTTCGCTATTTCATCATAGTAATTTTTATTTTTACCATTAAATATAATATATAATAACAATATTTTTATGCATGCAAATGTTTTTTTAAGCAAGTGTCCAAAATAAAAATCATTAGAGGAAAAAACAAACAAAGAAGAAGATCAAGAAATGCTTTAATTGGAAAGTCAGAACCTGAAATATTTTACTTCCATGCATCTATATTGAGATGGGACAATCATGGGCCATTTTTAATTATTTTTTTCTTATTATTATTTTTTTCACACTATAAATAAATAATAATAATAATAAATATTATTCTTCTTTGTAAAATATATATTAAAATTCATTAAACTGTAAGCTGCTTCTCTGCAGTTCCGGTTCATGCATTCACATGCTTTTGATTCTTGATATAACTAATCCAATATTTTCTAGTTGAGCACAATTTTTTGGTGTTTATGTATAAATAATTAAACTATTTCAAGAATTGATTTTTTTTCTTTTTCCTTCCTTTTTTTAAATTGTTTCTCAGGATATATAATAATAAATTAATAATATAATAATTAAAATCAGAGCTAATTAATCAAAACTATAGCTCCACAGACTTTCAGCATCAGAATTTTCCGGCGAGTCATCCAGCGGCCGGGAACCCATCCGCGGCGGGCTGACCAGCATTCCCTCCGCCATGCTCAACAGTAAATTAGGCATATGAAACAGCGCCTCCTCGTCGACGAATTGATCATGCCCAGTAGTCAACGCCTCCGCATTAGGAGGAGGTTCCCCCCCGGCGGCGGCCGCCGCCGCCTCCGGCGGCGCTTCATCGCCGCCGCTCTCCGGCTTCATCATAGCCGCCGCCGCGGCGGCGGCCCTGCGGATGTCCTGAGGGGAAGGCGAATCCGGGGTCGGGTACCTACTAGCACGATCGGGGAAGTTCAGTAGGGTGTCGCCGCCTTTGAGGGCCAGCGCCGCCACGTCGTAGGCGGCGGCGGCCATCTCCGGCGAGGGGTAGGTGCCCAGCCAGATACGCGTCGTCTTCTTCGGCTCCCGAATCTCCGACACCCACTTCCCGCTGCGGCTCCTTATGCCGCGGTACACCGCGTGCTTCCCGGCGCCGGCGGCGGGGCGGGTGGCGGAGGTGGAGGTTCCGGCGGCGGTTTTCTTGACCTTTTTCGGCGACGGCAGTGTTTCGCTGCTGATACTCGGCTGCAAATGCTGCGATTGATCCCTCGATTGCTGCACCATAGCCTCCGCCGGTAGTAAAGACCGAGGAGGAGGAAGAATCGACGGCGGCGGCGGCGGTGGAGGAGACGGCGGCGGAGATGGTGGCGGGCTGAGAGGATTTTCGGTGGGGCTTGGTGGATGGTCTTGTTGACTCATGTTAAGATGAGGTGGAGAGTCAGCCATTTATATTTATAGTGTTACATATATATATATAGTGGTCTATACTATATAATATATATAATAATAAAATAAATATATTTATTTAATTACCACAAAATAAATATATAAATATTTATTTTGTTTTTATTATGAGAAATGGAGAAGATGGCAATTGTTTATTTATATAAGGGGAAAAAATTTAATTAAATGTAAGTTGAAAGTGAAAGCGTGGCAAATTCGTGGGTAAATATGTGAAAATGAAAGAGTACACACGTATATTTAAGGCAAGCTGCTTATTAGCTGACACACACGTATAAAGATTAGCTGTTTTTTTTTTCCTAAAATAATAAATAATAAATAATAACTAATAAATAAATAAATAATGATAATAATAATAATAAAATAATTGTATAGTGTGTTTGAACTAAAATAAAAAGATTAAATAGACCTAGTTGTAAGTTTTGCAAAGTACATGCTGTGAAGTGCTGTGGATCACTTTCTAGTCCAATGAAACAAAAGTATAAGATTTTGCAAATCCTAATTTAAATTAAATTTAATTATTGTGATTTGTACATTAATTATTGTTATTGCTCGTAACTGTTTTACGTTGACAAATTTCAATATTTTATTATTTTATTGTTTATATGTGAATGTAGACTCTTTCCAATTGAGCAAGATTATTGCATGAATCACAAATAGGTAAAAGTCATACTATAAATCATCTTAGAGAGTTGAAGTAGGATGAGTTGGAAGAGCAGAGTCGATCACTGGCTCACGAGCTTGATGACCTTGAGATACCTGCGATCATAGAACACGTGAACTAGGTCGGGGTTGATCCGGCGAAAACCCCTCCGACGCTCATTACAGATATGCTGATAGTATAAATGGTCCTGAGAATACATTGGCTAGTATTAATCAGTTAATAAGACGTACCTTAAGGAATGAGTTCAAACCTTTGTTTATACTTTATACCTTAGTTGAGATTCTCGGGTCCAAACTTTACTTGAAGGTGATTGGGCATCGGTGATAGTGGTCTTCGATATTGAGTTTCGTGGCCCAGGCCAGTAGGTAAATAATTTGTAGGCCCATTGGGTTGGCCCAATTAACCATATCATATACTGAAATGTTAAATGTCGTTTTCATTTTACTAATATCGTTTTTATTTCTGATAAGATTTTAATCATTTTTAGTATGATGTTGACAGAGTTCAAACCACGAAAACTGCAGTTTTTTGAGATATCTTTCTACTCCAACTTGAATCAGCTAGATTGGCTGTCGGGTGACAAAGTTATGCATGAATGAATTAGATTTTGAATTTTAGACGACTCAAGTACATCAAAATTGAATATTTTTCTCACCCGACATCTAATCTTGGTCATTCAAGTTGAACTACAAAACTAACTCAAAGAACTACAAACATAATACAGTAGAACCTCGATAAATAAATAACCTCACTTAAATAATAGTTTCTTCTGGTCACGGATCGGAAACAAATTTACTAAACTATTAGTTCGATAATTTAATATTTCCCTAAATTAGTAGAATTTTGCTTGTCCGAACTCTATTAATTTATAGAAGTTTAACTGAATAAGACTAAGAACTAGTCAAAGTAACATTTGAAATTGAAACAGTATACTAAAACTGAAACCACATTTATCGCGGCCCCTTCAGGGAATACATTTAAATGGTCCAAAATGTATATAAATTTAATAAATTTGATTCTTTGACGAGTGAACCTAGTTGGCCTTGTAAATGTAATTAACCTCATTGCACGTTGAACTCTTATAGGAGATCGTGACTGTGATTTTGACCCTATTATTTCAGCTTACACCTAAAAAAATATACAATAAATAAATGAATTAATAAGCCATTTGACATTATTTTAAATTCTTTGTACTTATAGCTTTCCTCAATTCAATCTCACCCATTAAAATTCACGTGTTGATTAACAACTAAGAGCTCGTTTGGTTAATAGAACAATACTACGATAAAAAGAGCTTATAAGCTGTTAAAAATAGCTTATAGCATTTTGTTAATTTTTTTTTAAAAAAAACTTCATTTTTATTTTTTTATTTTAAAAAAAAACTAGCATTTTTTTCCCGTGCGATGTACGAGATATTATTTCAAAAGTGAAAAAAGTAATCAATTTAATGCATAAAAAGAAAATACCGTACACTAACATAGTAAAATTTAATTATTATTCATATTTTATATAACATTGGTTTTTTTTTTTTAAATCTGACATATTAAGATTTATAATCCAAATATATAGATTAAGATTTAAAAAATCGTATTTCTATCTTTATCTCTTAACATTTGTGATATATTGATGAAAAATCGGAGATTGATAATTGTTAAAAATTATAGTTAGAAATTAATAGAGAAAAAATATTAAAAATAAATAATAACAGAAATACCATTAGGGTTTTTAGGATTACCCATCATTTCTTTCTAATATATATAAGATATAAGATAAGATAAGTTGCTGGAAAGCTTTTAAGATCTTTTAAAAAAAGAAACTTCTACTCAACCACTATAATGAGTAAAAATAACTTATAAGCTCATTATCCTAATACTTTAAAAATTGATTCTAAAAATAAGACGTAACAACTTATCAACTCTTAAAACAAGTGATCTGACATTAAAGCTTATTACATGATGATTAAGTACTCGTAAGGGAGGAACATGATTCGAACTATACTTGTATTACTTTTCGATTAAATTGTATATTTAATTATAATTTCTAAGATTCAATTCTATTGTTATTTAGCAATTTCCCATTTACCTCAATATATATATTATAGAGATCACATGTTGAAACAATTTGATTTGATAAATATATAAATAGAAATATATTATTATAAAAAGGACTGCATAACGGCCAAAAACATGTCTCGATTCTCAACATCTAGGTTGGTACTTGTTACAATAAAAATAATAAAAATAATCAAATATTATTTAAATTTAGTGGCTGAAATTTAACCAAAGAGGCTCTTTTATTTTATTTTTTTCAATTACCATAAACCTTAGTGGATATACGCTACACATGATTTTTATTTGTTTGATCAATTCATTTTTCCAACTTGTCAATACATTATAAGTCATCTAAATAAAAACCTATGAGCAGTCAAATTGTTTGTTGACCATATTGATGGGCCTAGGCCCAAGAAAACTCAAATATTTAGGTATAAATTAAAATAATTTATAAATTATCCTGCCGTAAGGGATCGCCTAGCGGTCGGGGCAAGTAAACTTGTTCGCAAATTGCCGAAATTCACTATGCACAGAGATCAGTTGCAAGCTCGTTTTGCACCTTCTTCCACTTCGAAATACAAAAAACTTATAGCGTGAAAGTTGTAGTACTTTGAGTTATAGTTCCATTGTCACTTGAATCACATCAATCCGACATCATATGCGCGAGTTATGATCTAAATCTAAGCAACCCCATAGTTGTTCCTCGATTTCTTCTTTCAAACTTGACTTTCCTCTCGAATTTGTAATTTTTTTTTATCCATTTTATTATATTTACTTTGAAATCGTTGTGAATACCAAAAATCAAAATTTTAAAAATAGCTAAGAAACGAGCAGTAATAAAAGTCTAAAACTAATAGTCACGGACCCAACACTAGACACACGAAATGAAAGACGAGGTTCGTTCATGTTTATTTGTTGATGTTATGTATCGAGGTACATAATTAACGGAATCATGCATTGACGAAGATGAGCTACCATGTCAGCAATTTCCGCGTGGACATTGACTTCTTGAATATTTCTTCGGCAAAGAGACAAGTGCTATTTGATCAAAGTATGAACAACAACGTGACCTGACTGATACCACTGGATGCATGTCGAAACCCGCAACGTGAATGAGAATGAAATGATATATGAACGAGAACTACTCAACCGTTGCAGGTTTCTGCATGCATGAGAAACCCAACATAGGAACAATAAATTTTGCGAACCGATTCGGCAGTAATTAGGGTTTCGAGCTACCGTTACATATCCATATGATATTGGGTTGACCCGATTCAAAAGAAATTAGAAGGCCAACCGAAAAGTTTGCTCTTTCATGTTTTGAGATTTAGAGGGTGTTTGGTTAAGCTTATTTTAAACAACTGATAAGCTCTTACGTCTGATAAGATGTTTTTAGAGCTGATAAGCTGTTACATCTTATTTTTAAGATTTATTTTTAGAGTGTTTGGATAATGAGCTTATTTCGTATTGTTACTCATTAAAAGATCTTAAATAAAAAGGTGGGGTAGAGGTACTTTTTTAAAAAGATCTTATTTGCTCTCCAACAGCTTATTTTAAAAAAAAATAAGATCTTTTTTTTTTTTAAATTACCAAACACTTTGGAAGAGCTTATAAGCTCTAAAACATCTTATAAGCTCATTTTAACATCTTATAAGCTTAGCCAAACACCCTCTTATTTTCAAAATTCGGAAAGAAAAAGAAAAAAAGATCAGAATTGGGCTTGAATATATTTTATCTTAAATTCCAATATATATTTTTTTTATGTATTATCATTGCTTAATGTATTGTCTCTTAATAAAAATAAATAAATATTACCTGTTGAGCTTTATTATCGATCTTAATTAATATTATATTGTCTCTAGAAATGAGTAAATTAAGAATTTATATTACATATTTAGATTTTAATATTCAACAAATATATATGTTCAGATTTAATAAATCAAATTCTTTTCAATGTGATTTCTTTAGATAATACGGTATTAATTACCTGTTAATTAAGAATTTATATTACATATTTAGATTTTAATATTCAACAAATATATATGTTCAAATTTAATAAATCAAATTCTTTTCAATGTGATTTCTGTAGATAATACGGTATTAATTAATTACCAGTTAATAATGGAATAGATTAAAATATATTAATCCTTATTTAATTCAAATAGCTAGGTATCCAGATATGTAGTAACAAACAACCTTATTTTGCTGCCAAATTCTTGGTGCAGTTGTTCATCAAGTCATCCAACTCAAATCAGATTCTTGTATGTTCCCGCAACACTCCAATCTCTCTCTCTCTCTCTCTCTCTCTCTCTCTCTCTCTCTCTCTCTCTCTCTCTCTCTCTCTCTCTCTCTCTCTCTCTAACGGATAAGTCTAGATGAAGTTTGATACATCTGGCAGTTAGAAAAATATTGAAAGTATCTTAAGAAGATCAGATATAGATAAAGTTATATACTCTCTCTCTCTCTCTCTCTCTCTCTCTCTCTCTCTCTCTCTCTCTCTCTCTCTCTCTCGTGTGTGTATATATATATAGGTCGATACATAACTTGGTTTATCAGATTATAAGATTTAATTTCAAGAAAACCCTAATTAAAAAAAAAATGGCCGGAGGTATGGCAATTAGCAAAGGGGATAAAGAATATCCCGGCAAGCTTACGTGGACGGTGTTATGGATTTGCATGGTGGCTGCTACCGGAGGACTCATCTTCGGTTACGATATCGGGATTTCCGGTAATTAACCTAATCCTTATTTATTTTTAATTCTATAGATATATATATATATATATGTTGGTTATGAATATATATATATAACAAGATTGATTTGATGGCAGGTGGAGTCACGTCCATGCCGTCGTTTTTGGAGAAATTCTTTCCGCACGTATACCGGAGGGAGCAGAATCATGTGGCCGGTACGAACTCGTACTGCACGTTCAACGACACCGGATTGACTATGTTTACTTCGTCTCTCTATTTGGCGGCCCTAGTCGCCTCTTGGTGTGCTTCGCTTGTGACTCGAAAGCTCGGACGAAAGGCTTCCATGTGTTTAGGTGGGGTCCTCTTCTTGGCCGGCGCGCTCTTCAACGGCTTCGCCCAAAACCTAGCCATGCTCATTATCGGTCGAGTACTCCTCGGTTGCGGCGTCGGTTTCGCTAACCAGGTACTTGTATATTCTTTTTTTTTTTCTTCTCGATTTTTAATTGATCATGTGCAATTTTTTATAGTAGTAGTAACCAATTTTTTTTTTTTTTTTTTTTTTAAATTTAGATTTTTAATTGATCATGTGCAATATTTTGTATTAGTAGTAGCAGTAGTAACCAATTTTTTTATCCAGATTTTTAATTGATTGTGGTCAATTTTTTTTGTAGTAGTAGAAGTAATCAATTTTTTTTTTAATCTTGATTTTTAATTGATCATGTGCAATTTTACTAGTAGTAGTAGCAGCAGTAGTAACGAATTATTCTTTTTTTTTTGGCAGTCTGCACCGGTGTTCTTGTCGGAAACGGCTCCGTACAAGTACCGCGGTGCGCTCAACATGCTTTTCCAGCTGTCAATCACCATCGGAATCCTCGCGGCCAATTTGATCAACTTCTTCACCGCAGACATGACGAACGGAAACGGGTGGCGAATAAGCCTAGGTTGTGCTGGTGTCCCCGCCATTCTATTCATAATCGGCTCCGTATTTCTCGAAGACACGCCCAATTCACTCATCGAGCGCGGCAACAACGAACAAGCCCTAGAAAGGTTGAAAAAAATCCGAGGAATCGAAAATGTCGACGAGGAGTATGACGATCTCGTGGCAGCCAGCACGGCCTCCAAGGAGATTACAAACCCTAGTTTTAATCTCCTTAGGGCAAAGTACCGGCCCCACCTAGTCATGGTCACGATGATCCCGTTCTTCCAACAACTCACCGGCATGAACGTCATCATGTTTTACGCCCCCGTCTTATTCAAGACCATCGGCTTCGGATCCAACGCCTCCCTCGCGTCGGCGTTGATAACCGGTGGGGTCAACTGCGTCGCAACCCTAGTTTCAATATACGCGGTCGATAAAGTCGGGAGGAGGGTTCTCTTCCTCGAGGGCGGGATTCAAATGTTGATATGTCAAATCGTGATTACGATCTGCATCGCGGTCAAATTCGGGGTCAACGGCGACCCGGGCGTACTCCCCAAGTGGTACGCATCTCTAGTAGTGGTTGCAATATGCTTTTACGTGGCCGCATTCGCGTGGTCGTGGGGCCCGCTCGGGTGGCTCGTCCCGAGTGAGATTTTACCCCTTGAGGTCCGGTCCGCCGGGCAGAGCGTCAACGTCAGCGTGAACATGATCTTTACGTTCTTCATCGCGCAGCTATTCTTGCCGATGTTGTGCCACATGAAATTCGGACTATTCATATTCTTTGCCGTATTCGTGTTCGTGATGACGTTCTTCATATACTTTTATTTGCCCGAGACGAAGGGCATCCCGATTGAGGAGATGTCGCGTATTTGGAAGGCCCACCCCGTCTGGAAACGCTACTACGAAGACCGTGATTTCGACGTCGAGAAATTCGACCGCATACATGCTGCTGATCTAGACTTCACGAAAGAATTGCACATTTGATTTCCTTGGTTTTGTTTTTTAATTAGGGTTTTAGATATTAGGTTCTTTATTTCCTTGTCTTTTTTTTGTTTTTCTATTTGTGTTTATGTTTATGGAATTGTTCTCAATTGAAATGTTTATGCTATTTCCCTTGCTTTATTTTATATTTATTTTTCATATATCTATTGTTTATAGAATTACTAGTGACTACATAATTAAAAAAAATTATATAAACTAGATGACTATAACTAATATTTCGATACAGTTTGTAGCAGAATGACCATCTTAATCTTAATCTACTTTTTTTTTAATCATTTATTTATTTATTTATTTATCAAGTTAACTCATTTTTTGGATAATAAATCAAAAAGTAGCTAGTGACAAAAAAATTATAAGATTTTTGTTGAATTAATAATTTAGTTTCTTCTTCAACTTGTAAGTTTATCTCAAAGCTGGATGAATTATGTGTTTGGAACAAAATGGCCATCTGAATCTCCATCTCTCCCCATTTCTTTTCAATGTTTTCCGATAATATATAAGATTTTTGTCATATATATAGGGGGCAATTAAAACAAATTCCAATTTTTTCTTACTTCAATACCTCCAAGTTTAAAATCATTTTTTATAAAAGTTTTTACAACCTTTTCTTAGTTTAAAACCATAAATAAATAAAAAATGCTAGCAAAGTACAAAAATGCCCTTCATCAACCATAATAAATTTATACAACAATTTTTTTATTCCTTACTTCAATAGCGAGGAAAAAAAGAAAAACAAATCCTCTCTTCTTCTCCCCAAACTCAAATCCCTTAAACCCTATCTTCTTCATCTTCTTAAATCCTCCAAAACATCTCCAAATTCAAAAAATCAAAACCTCACAAAACTTATAAAATGGAGTTATAAGACAATAATATGGTAGTATATATGGAAAGAGAACCCATTAAGGTAAGTATCGATGTCTTTTTTGAGTTTCGAAGTCGATTTTGAAGTTTTTTTTTTTGAAACCCGTCGGCAATTTTCAACACATACAGGTCGATTTTTTGGTCAATTTTCGACACCAACGTGTCGAAAACATAAAAAAAAAAAAAAAAAAATCGACACATACCTGTCGAAAATTCTCCCAATTTCGACAGGTATGTGTCGAAAAAATACTGTTGGCACAATTTTTTTTTTTTTTTTTTTACCAATAGTGTTTTTCGACACATACCTGTCGAAATTGGGAGAATTTCGACCAAGTATGTGTCGAAATTTGTTCTTGTTTTATTTTTTCGACACATTGGTGTCGAAAATTGACCAATAAATCGACCGGTATGTGTCGAAAATTGCCGACGGGTTTCAAGAAAAATAACTTCAGAATCGACTTCGAAATTCGAAAAAGACATCGATACTTACCTTAATGTCTTCTCCTTTCATATATACTACCATATTATTGTCTTATAACTCTATTTTATAAGTTTTGTGAGGTTTTAATTTCTTTAGTTTTGAGATTTTTTAGAAGGGTTTGTTGTGAAGAAAATTTTTTAGAAGAGTTTTTGAGGGAGGAAGAATAAGGAGGTGGAGGAGGTGAGGGGTGAGTGAGTGAGGAGGGAAATAATTTTTTAGGGTTTTTGATTATTTGGTATTTAAGAAAGAAAAATAGTATTTGTAATATTTTTTTGGTTTTAATTTTCATTAAGGGTATTAAAGTAATTTAAAATTAATTATTTATTTTTTATTTTTTTGGTATTCAAGTAAGCAAAAGTTGGGATTTGAAATAGTGATCCCCATATATATATATATGTAGTGGTGTTCATTGGGTAATACCGTATCGAACTGTACCGGAATTTTTATAAACTGAAATTTCGTTACTTTGAAAATTTGTACCGTTTACCAAACCGAAAGATATGTTCGATTTGGTATGGGCTTTTGCCGAATTAATTCGGTTTTTTCTGTTCGATAGTGGTAAAACCGAAAAGATATTTTCATATTTCAAAAAAAGTAAAAGAAATATATTTAAACTAATTAATTCTTGAATTTGACATTTAAATTTCAATAATCGACCCTAAAAACAAAAAGTGATTATCAATAGAGACTAGTTTGTAAATAATGGAAAAGATTAACAATCTAAAAGTATTTTATAATTTGTTAAAACTTAAAGAATTTAAAATAAAAGAAAAAATAATATTTATTAAATAATTTGGTATCCGGTACACTATGGTATATTGGGCAACAATACCATAGAAAAGAAAAAATTACGATATTAGAGATAAGAAAAGAGGAAAGAGATCTAAATGAATACCGTATTGAATACCGAAACTCCAAAAAATCATTACCATATGCCTAACCGAATTTCCGATTCGAAATTTGGTACATACCAATTTTTTAATCCAATTCAACTTTGACCAGTTTACTGATCGAGTGGACACCCCTACATATATATATAAGACTTTTTCGATCTTCCCTGATCTACCTTTGAAGTCACGGGCAATAAGGGTTATTGGAGTAGCCGAGTAGGCAAGGATATTAAACTTATTTCATGGACGAAACTACCCTTTCTAATATATATTAAATATATATAAAGATTTTTATATAACACGTTTAAATTTAAAATTAAATATTCTTTTTATAATTTTTTTTTAAAAACTCCTAATTTAATGTATCTTTTATCAATTCAACGCCTAATTTATTTGATATTAATTAATGGTAATATGAATATATACAACAATTTTCTTTTAAATAATAATAATATGGTTAGTGGTTCTATTTATTTATTTAGCAATGAATATAGACTTTTGGCGAAAGTGGCTTCCTAATGATGATTGGAGGCAAATAATAAAAATTAAAAATTAAAAAATAGCGTGTCTGCTTAAAAGTCAAATACGTACTAATAATTATTTATTTAATTTTTTTTAATCATATGTATTTGGCTTTTAAGAATCTTGTGCAGGAGATTGGGTAATTATGATTATCATTAATTGAATAAAAAAAAAGAGGATTATTCCCCCCCACTATACAAAAGGTTCAATTTGTAGGGTCTATCTATTCATTCATTGTGGCAATAAAACAAAAAAAAATGTTGGTTATAGTTTTAAATTGAGTTTATTGCATAGCTATTTATCACGGACACGAAATGGTGATTAAAAAAAATGGATATAGGAAAACTATGGGGATATGAAAATTTAGGAAAATGTGTAAATATTAAAAATATAGGGGTCTATCTGTAAATATGCTATATATATATATATATATATATATATATATATATATATATATATATATATATATTTTGATGATGTTAGAGATAGAGCACCTTAGACGATTGAAGTAGGATGAGCTGAAAGAGCAGAGTGGATCACTGGCTCACGAGTTTGATGACCTTGAGATACTTGCAATCATAGAACACGTGAACTAAGCCTGCAATCATAGAACACGTGAACTAAGCTGGGGGTTGATAAGATTTTAGTTATATAAAAATTATTTTTATATATTTACATACAAATATATTCAAGATAAATATTGTTATCAACTATCAGTTTGCTATTCCTCATTAAATCGTGTAAATAATTAGGGAAACAACAAAAAATATTTGGAAATTCTCTATTTAAACATGTTTCTAGCTTTTCAAAAATTGCAAAACGACTCATAAAGTGTCTGACATGTGTCTCGAGCATCGGACGTGAAACGTTTTCAAAATGCGAATACGTTAAGAAGTTAAAGTTTCCGTGAGATAATTGCACCGCAATAGATGTGTTTAGCTTAATTGCTCAAATAATTTGCCGTGTCAGCAAATATGCTTTCATTTTTTTAGTTGCCCCTACAAAATTAATCATATGGGTGCTAGTAATATAATAAAATGACAGCATTTAATTGTGAGTTTAAATTTTTGTAACAAGTTTGAGTAAGTACGAATCTTCTTAATCGAACGTTTTACTAGGCCGTACTATTTAGCCCGACTTTCATAGCGTTAATCGAATGTGTCTTTCTAAAAAAAACCCGAACGAGTCTCAAATTCTTAAATTTCATTTCTTTACTGAGATATGATGTGCTCGAATAAAATTGTGGAATCATACTAGAACCGTCCCAAAAATTACACTTTGGTACTATAATTCCCGTCAATTTTCCGCTAGTACATGGCGTAATCAAGTATGTACTTATTACTGTCTTAACTGACGGACTAAATTAACGAAAAAGACCAAAACAGTTAAATTGTTTAAAAACAAGGGACTAAATCTGTATTTTGGTGAACAAGGAGACCAAATGTGAAGTCAAGATAAACTTAAGGGACAAAAGTGTATTTCTCCCAACTAATAATAAATGCCAAAATTTGAGTACAAAAAAAAAAAAGAATATAAAACTATAGGTATTATATATATATATATATATATATATATATATATATATATATATATCTCAATACAATCCATCTTTTTCACAATTTAAAAAAAACAAAAAGAAAAAAAAAACATATGTGCATAATATTTATACCCAAGCCATCACAATATATGCAAAGAACACATCAATCATTCTTTTTGCACTATGGATTAATATAATATATATATATATATATATTTATCACCACAGCAAACTTCTTGAACTGAGAAATTTTAATATTATTTTTTAATCAAAATGTTTCCCATTTTGTTGTTACCACAAATGCCCCTGCACTCAAATTCCCCTGTTTCCTCTGTTCTTGCTGTTTTTGGAAATTTTGAGGTATCTTTCCTGTGAACATTTGGTTGTTTCTTTGCTGCTGTAATGGAATTTTTGCCATGCCTGAATTCTTTATCTTTAACATATCCACAACTTCAATGTATTTTTGCACCCTTTTCACCTGCAATATAAATCCATTTTATATTTTTTCGAAAAACTTGATTAAAAGAAAATTGTAAAATTTGAGATAAAATCATTAAGCGATCAAAGAATCGGGCTTCGTTTGATTGCCAAGATGTGAACCGGTCAAAAGATAAGATTATATAATCTTACATTGCCTCGTTTGGTTGGGGACATTAGTCATTATTAACTAAATCATTGGACGTTTGATGTTTGGTATTCCGATAACTTGTTGGGTCGACCCGCAAATATTATATTATCATGCCTTATAATGCCTTCTAAGGGTCTGATTAAATAAATGAGTTTTCGTTAGATTATTTAATATTATTTTGGCAACCAAATGAAGGCCTAGAGTTTATTTGATTCAAGAATGTTAAACCAAATTATGCCACGTTTGTCACCGAAAATGGGGTTTATTGCAATTCGTACCCATATATTATATCAAATTGCTACAAAACCACCCCATATTATTTTTTATCGACAACCCCCCCCCCCCCCAATTCAATTTTTTTAGCACACAACCCCAAAACAGGGGTACTAATTGCTAAAAAATAAGTCGGATGAGGGTTTCTGCCAAAAAAATAACATAGTGTAGTTCTGTAGCAATTCGACATAACATAAGGGTACCAATCGCAATAAACTCGCCAAAAACGATCAATCGATTTTACGAGGGGTCCAATTGCATAATTAAACTAGAGATTTTAAGGGTTCATTTTTTATATTCTCTAAAATAAAATAAAAATGGATTGGCCGGAGATTTTTTAGCGGCTCCGAAAAGTTATTGAACTAACCAAATATCGAATAATGTTCGATTATATAAACTAATAATAATAATAATTTATTTTATCAAAAACAAATTGAGTGGTTTACCTGCATTCTTCTTTGAAGCTTGACATCTCCATCAGCAGCAATTGCATCCAAATTTATTAGCTGTGTCATCAACAGTTCAATCAAACTCAATAAAACTGTCTCCACTACTTTCTTCCCTCCATTTATTTCCATTTCAATTCTTGCCACCTACTCAATTACAAAAATAATCAAGAAATTAATTAATTTTTTTTAATTTTTTTAAATATTAGATATTCAAGAAAAAATACAAAAAAAAAAAAAATAAAAGAAAAAAAATTAAGATCACCTGTTTGGCAAGCTTGTCGACTTCGAATTTAATGGCTGCGATTTCTTTCGACGCCTTGTCCATTTTCGAATTCTTTCGCGATTCGAGGATTCGTCTCTCTTTGCTCAATTCATCTTCGATCAACACGATCTTCGATCCGTTTTTCACCCCACAATTATCAAGAAATGCCTTCGAATCTCTCTCTTTTTCCTTGTAAATCAGCTTCTGATCTTGTGTGTGCAATCCTGTTAATCCAGCTAGCATTTTCTTCATTTCCCCTGCAATTTATCAGAAAAAAATAAATTAATCAAGAATATTAAAATAAAAAAATTAAAAAAAAAATCGAAACAAAAAATTAGTTTATTGCATTTCGTACTCCTGTGTTATATCGAATTACTAAAAAAAACTCACTCGTATTATTAATATCACCAAAAAAATTAAAATTAAATCATATATAGATGATTTTTTCTTCTTCTAACAATTATCAATAAACCTAATAAAAATCAATTGTGGTAAGCAAATAATAATTAAAACAATAATAATAATAATAATTACCAAAATTGGATTGAGAAGCAATGAGAATTTCATGATAAACAGAACCATATTTAACTTTGACTTTAATATTCGGAACCGGATTATAATTCTGATTCGAATCCGAACTTCTCTTCTGAACCAACATTCCTCCAGGCCGGACCTCCAGCCCTTCAGCCGCCGGAGCCGCCTCGAAGCCGCCTCTCGCCGGCGACGAAAGCCACGTGGCGGGCTTAGCTACTATAGGATTCTTCATTCTCAAGATGGAGTACTCTTTATTCATTATATGAAAAAAATGAAATAAAATTTGTGGGGTGGTTTTATAGTTAAAAAAAAGAAGTTGATGATTCTTGAAGTGCTTGTCTGCTAAGATAAGAACATAACCTATGTATGAAGAAAGAACCAATTTCTGACACACTAATATATATATGTATGTATGTATATGTGTATGTATATGTGTGTGTATGTATATTGTCAGACCAAACAAGAATAACAATGTGGTCTTTATGTATACATACAAATCCCTATGAATAATGGGAAATAGCCCACAAAAAATAATTTATTTTTTTTTTATTTTTCTTGGTTGAAAAATTCTTCCTTTGAATTTATTTAAGGGGGTTTAATTAATTTCTATCAAAAATATTATAATCATATACTTACATAGAGGAGGTGGGGTGGGGGTGGGGTGGGGTGGGGGTAGGGTGGTTAAGGGGGAAGAAGAATATTGTGTCTTTGGTTGGGTTGTTTGGTTTTTTTTCTTGGTTGTTATTTTAATTTTTTGTGTGTTTGTGTTTGGTAGTATTTAATCTAATTAAAAATTGATAATGGTATTTAATAATGAAAGGAAAAGGAAAAAAAAAGAAAAAGAAAAGAAAAGGTGATTGTTTTTAATGTTTGGATTAAATAGGATTTAAATGAGGGGATTCTTACCCTTTTGGCTTTTGCCAATGTTGGATTCTTTACTTGGATATGCTTCCTTATCTACTTTAATAAATAAATAAATAAAATTAAATTTACATGCATGTATTTATTATATGTGGATGTGTGTGTGTGTGTGTGAGGCACACAATTTATTGAGAATAATATGTATAAATGAAATATGAAATAGGCATATATGGACACATAAATAATTGGTAACTGACTCAAGTTCGATTCTCCTTGTCAACATGTTTTTGCGTCTGATCCAATTTAAATGTTTTGTTTGGTTTACAATTACTCTGCAAGAATGAGATTTACCCAATACACTTACAGAGTTACGAATTTCTTTCTCAACAGAAAAAAATGCAAAGATTGGTCATTGTAATTTTCAGAAATATGAAGAGGTTGTAATTAAATAGTCAAACTTATGCTACGCAGGGTAAAATGTACACTCGTTAAAGATAATATCGTATATCTACAAACATAAATATGGATGAACATAAGACTATACAATATATTTGATGTATTTCATTCGGTGTAGCACAAGATAAACTGTATTAATTATTTTATTTTATTTTATTTTCTTTAAAATACAATTAATAATGTTTTCCATTTACTCCCATCTCCCTCTAATTGTTGTATAAACACTAACTTCCAACCTGGATAATATATCCAAAAAAAAATCCAATAACATACAAAAATATTGAATTTGTTAATCCCATTTTTTGGACGATATAGTCAATTTTTTTGATTTGATTTTGATTTTTTTTGGTCGAAGTAATTTTGATCAAGTATATGATAAAAAAATAAAAATAAAGCTCCTATAACTCGATAATTTTATAAACATTCGAATATAATTCTTACGTACTCTCAAACAACACGTTATAAATATATAATATATTTTTTGATAGATTGATGACCGTATATGTGTATAAGGTAAATCTCGTTCGAATAAATTATAAATGTTACACAATACAAGAATTTCATAATCACAAATCTCAAACATAAGATAATCATTTAGTAATTAATCTTATAAACTATATATAAATTCACCTAATAATAATTGCACATAATTCAAAAGAAATGGGAATTTCTTGAAGCAACTGTTTACACCTTTGGTAATAAAATTGAGTGCAAGTTTGGTGATTCATCCCAGACAAACCATTCATTCAATGATTGTTTGGACATTATTTCCTTAATTTATTTGGGGAAAAAATAAATAAATAGAAAATTGCCCTTTCTGGATTAAGATTCAACAAAGGTTCACTCATTATAAGCAAAAATAAAAATAAAAATGGTGTAATAATAAAAGTAGCCAATGCCCTAGATTAGTAACCTTCAAGTAAATACCAAACAGGAAAGTTTCATTTGTAAGTTTATAAAAATAAATAAATAAAATTATTACACCTTTGTTTTGTTACTTAAGAATGATTGAAAAAGTACGGCACTTCAATAGATTTTTATTTTTGGTTTGCTAATATATGATTAAAATTCTATTATTATAGAATTATATTTAAATTAGGAGTTCTAGTTAACTGTAACTAGATATATATTCCTTATTATAAATAAGGTATATCTATGAGAAAATTATATTCAAATTAAATTAATTATGATACTTTTTTTCAAGTATTATAGTATGGTATCAAAACTATACTGTTGGTTTTTTGATGATTTTCCTTCTTTCGATCAGTTCTACCGAGACGAAAAACGCTATAAATCAACGCTCCTTTTGATTTGTCATTGCAATCTTGTTTGTGGCTTTTCTTCTTATTCCTCACGCTTCTGCCACAAAGGAAAACACCATAAATTATTACTCTGGTTTTTATTTGCATCTTACTTTCGGTGTTCTCCATATTTTATTCGGTTCCACCGAGACGGAATACACCATAAATCACTGTTTTTTCACAGGAGATCAATGTACTTTTCTAGATCATTCTTATTTTTCGTGTGTTTTCTTATTTATTGCGTTTAGATCCCTAAGAAAAAATACTATTATAAACAACTATTGTTCTACATTCAACCCCATGCAAGATGTTTCAATCAACATGCATGCTCATCAAGGTACCATCAAAATCGTCGTTAGCCAATATGTACAATAGATGGAAACCAGATGATCATCAAAGTTACATTGTAAAAAATTATGCACGTCTTCAAGCGTCGCGACTCCCAAACGTTACGCGCCTCATTTGAAGAGACACATCAATTATGATTCGGTTAACAACCTCAAATCAGTCTATCACCACCTTGAATTTGAGGAGGGCTGTCAATATACGAATTATGATATTTTTTTCAAGTATTCCAAACACAATTTCTTGTTTCTCCAAGAAAAAAAGGACAAAAATAAGTGTCAATTAATTAGAAGTAATGGGATAATGGCCCTAAATAAATGCCAAGTTGGCAAGAAAATGTAAGAACAAAATTAGTTCATAGAATGTAAGAAGAAGAACAAAAAAAGGCCAGCTCTTTATTGGGTCATCATCCATACTTAGAAAAAAAATTCAGACTATTTAGTTATTAGTCATCTCTTCAAAAAATTGCCAGTGAGACACTGATGCTAACACTTCCCACAAAACAAAACACATCACAAAATTAATTTATTTCAGTCTTGTACAACTTTACAAATGCATGTGCATATGGGTTCATTTATTTTTAATTTTAAATTTTTTAATTTTTTCTTTTTGCCTTTATTTATTTTTAATATATAGTTTATATTGATTGTCATTAATTTGTGTGGCCAAAATGGTAAATAACTAGGAATTAATTTGCTATAATGCTTGTGGATTAATTAATAGTGCTACTACTGTAATTACCTAGGATATATAGAATTTCTAGATTCTGATAGTTTTCTTTTAAAAGTATACCTACCTAGTTCTTAACACAGATAATGACAGTTTATTAGATTAATTAAGAGACATAATTCCAAATAGTTAATTATAACACCCCATATTCATTCCACCTACTAATTATTAATCACTTCTTTAACCACAACTTCAAAATAGTACTCTTCTCATATATCTTGGGGTAAATCACGCCCAACCCCTAAGATAACGTCAAATTACGAAAAAATCCATCATATTTGAGTAATTACATTCACATACCCCTCAACTATAAATCTTCTTACACGTCCACCCTTGTGGTGTCAAATTTAGTGGAATCTTAAAGATTATGTGGAATATTATTCATTTTGTACCTGTTTTACCCCATTCGAGCTACATATATTAAAACAAGATGATCATAAAATGTGGTGTCTTGGCTTGTAAAATATTAGATTGTTATGCATCATAAACTGTTTTGTTTTTTTTTTTTTCCCACAAAACAAGTACAAACTAGAGAGCATTTCATGGAATATAGAAGATTATGTTCAATTTGACATCATAAGGGTGGACGTGTAAGAAGATTCGTAGTTAAAAGAGGTGGTTGTAATTACCTAAACAAAAGGGGTTTTTTCGTAATTTTACCTTACCTCTGGAGTGTGGCCGTAATTTACCCTGTATCTTGTCAAGTACTAATCTTGCCACTAAAACAAACAAGAAATATCCACAAACCTCGCAAACATATGCACATTTACATCATGTTCACTAAAAAAATTAATTCATCGAGAAAAAAACGACGTCAAGTTCGTAATCACGAGGAGTTACTAATTTCGTGTGTCTTGGAACAACAACATATGCGTAAGATTCCTAAATTATTGAAAAAAAACAAAAATAATGTGTGCAAGAAATTAAAAGAACATCTCTAAAGGGGACTAATAATTAAATTTTCATCTTATCTTTGAAATATATGATGGGGAGAGAAATTAGGTAGGGTTGAAGGACAGTTCATTCATCGTTTAATTCTGAGAATGACTCAACAATAACAATAGGGGGCTTCTGCACATGCTATGGCCAATGTATGTATATACATAAAATGTTGCTCCCGATACATAAAAGGGGTAGTGAATTTAGTAAATTGGTTGAACAAATTAATTAATTGTTGGAAATCTGCTATGAACGAGAATTTTGCCGAGGCGAGTTGTCTCTGTCCTTAAGACGAAATTTCCCCGCAACGGTGCTAACGGATTAAATGGAAATCGTCTCCCAAGATACAACGGCAAAACTTGGAATAGGAGCACTCCAAATCCCAAGTACGACGAACTGTACTTTGTGTAGAACTTTTCGAGAGAATCTGTGAAGGGTAGGCTTAATATGTAGTAGGCTTGTTTTGGATTGAAGTGAGGAATTTTGGGAAAGTTAGGGTCTATTTATAAGGTTCGAAAAGTAGTGTCCTTTGGAGCAAAAAGGTACCTTTTGTTTTGAATGGTTGCACCATTTCGAGTTGAGCCAATTGGGAGTGGTTGCACCATTTCGAGTTGAGGCGAATGGTTTGCATTGGTTCGGCCGCACCAATTCAGACCAATCAGACCAATCGAGATGGGCTTCGAGTAATAAGGGCCTAATGGGTTAAAAACCCATGACCTAATGTTTTTGGCCCGTCCCAATATTTTGATATATATACAGCTCAGTACTTCTCTACTTTTCCAATGTGGGATAACTCAAATCCCACTTTCCTTATATTTTG